TTTTGCGCTTTGTTGGCCTACTTACATTTTTTAATTAATCAACTTGATTGCTTATACTGTTTTCATGGTTGAAGTTATTTATTATGATATCTTCAATATGTCTCCTTGGCTGCTTCTAAAATTCTATTCATTTTTGTAACGTTCTTAAAGTTTTATAGTAAGAGCTCATACTTGTTAGAATTTCAAATATTCACCTCTTTGCAGGTAAGAGCGACTACGAAGCGTGCTATTCCATCTGGATCACAAACAATGCAGCTAAAACTGGACCTTCCCAAAGATGATAGATCTGGTAAAGATCTTCATCCATCTGACAATAGGTCGGGTGGAGTTGCCTCTGCAACTTCAGGCAATAATAACTTGGGTTTAACGAAAACTGGATCCTTTAGCACTTCATCTTCACGATCTATAACTCATGGAAATGAAACAAAAGCTGAGATTGTCGGTGCAAAGTCATCTGAGACTAGACAAACAACTGGAAAAGATGATGAAAACGAATCTTCTGAAATCTATGCCCAATCTTTGCGTACGTTACATTCTCCTCGACAGGATCTTTCCAAGTCTGCTGATCGGAAGAGAACAAGTCCCACTGAAGAAGTTGATAGACTAAACAAACGACGTAAAGGTGAGGTCGATCCAAAAGAAATAGATGGTAGCGAGGTAAGAGAAAGGGTAATCAATACTCGAGCTGTTGATAAACTTAATTCTGTAGATTATGATAGAGCAGTATTAGAAGACCAAAGTACAAGCAGACATACTGAAAAGTCTACTGATAGATCAAAAGATAAGGGTACTGAGAGACATGAGAGGGATCATCGAGAGCGATTGGAGCGGCCCGAAAAATCCCGTGGAGATGATATGCTTTCTGAGAAGTCCAGGGATAGATCAACAGAAAGATACATTCGGGAGCGATCTGTGGAAAAAGTTCTTGAGAGAGGCATAGATAGAAACTTTGATAGGCTAGGAAAAGATGATAGAAGCAAGCTGCGTCATGGTGAGGTTTCTACAGAAAAATCGTATGTGGACGAACGATTTCATAATCAAAGCTTACCTCCACCCCCACCCTTGCCACCTCATTTGGTTCCCCAATCCATTAATGCTGGTAAGAGAGATGAAGATTTGGATAGGCGTGTGGGATCTTCAAGGCATGGCCAACGGCTCTCTCCTAGGCATGACGAGAGAGAGAGGAGGCGTTCCGAAGAGAATATTTTGCTACTTCAGGATGATGTGAAACGTAGAAGAGATGATGATTTTCGAGACAGAAAGCGGGAAGAAAGAGATGGGCTTCCAATGAAGGTACTTTTTTTAGCCTGTCAAAGAATCTATGTAATCTCAGCTGTGACCTGATCACATACTATGCGTTCAAATAGATTTTATGATTGATTGAAGGCTTCCATCACATCATTATAATGTGTTTGCTTTTCTTTCCTATCAAGTACACCTTTAATGGTCTACTGTCTTACCTGTTTTTTATGCTTACAGGAACTTTCCTTTCTCAGCAGCATTAATTGTGTATATGCTTATCATGCAATCATGTCAAGATATTTGAAACACTTGTTCTCTGCTGCCGCATTTTTGAAATATCTATTTTGCTTTTTATCCTGTCTGATCGGACCTTAACAAAGTAAAATCAGACAAAGAAAACAAGCCCTTAAGGCTCTATTCCGTTAAGAAATCACCCAAAGTAAGAGTAAAACATAGAAAAAGTACCAAAATATGGCTGTCTCAGAATGATGTTTCCTTTTGTAAATTAAAACAACATTTTACTTTTCTTGTGTCTTTTCATCCATCATTTCATCTTTTTACTTGGTTGGCCTTATTTCTTTCCTTTATTTCGAATGGGTAACCTCTTATAATAAGTAGCACCACCTTTAATCTATTAAAAAGCATGTGAAACCAAAATGTATTTGACAATTAGGAATTTAGGAAGCATATATATCTCCAGAAAAGCATTGGGCTTGTAGCATGTCTCCTCACAATTCACTCAGTAAACTGGGGGAAACGAGAGGGTTGAAGGGTTGCATGGGATACATGGTGTAAATGCTAATGATTGCCTGATTTGGAAAAGTTTAGAAGCATAACTATTCAATTCAAAGGAGAAATACAAGCTATAGACATAAAAAATGTGTTATGGGATGTCATAGAGGTTGTTTCTTTTCATTCAGGCCAAAATAGTAGTTCTTGCGACCTGTGAGGCCTGTCAACTTTTTCATTTTTCATTATATGTCAAGCAGCTACTGAAGTGTATAAGGGAGCGATTGCATTTCGAACCCTTTGAATGTTCTTTGATTTGTTAATGTAATGTATTTCTTGTGCATTTTTCGTGATAAAATTTATTTTAGATTTTCTGATTTGATTGAAATCAGTTATACTCCATGCAGTTGTTGAATATTAAATAAGCAATGTAATTGAATTTGGATTGCTTTATTCTTGATTTGTTTGATACTCCTTATACACTGACAGTGCGTACATGTTTGCCAATTTCATGCTTTATATTGAATGTTGTTTCACAAACTGTAGAGTTATAAATCACTGGTGCCTACAGGTGGAGGAGAGGGAGAGAGAACGAGAGAAACAAAACCTTTTGAAGGAGGACATTGATGTCAATGCTGCATCCAAGAGACGGAAATTAAAAAGAGAGCATTTGTCATCAGAATCTGGTGAATTTTCACAATCATCTCTTGTTCCTCCTCTTCCGATTAATAATATCTCACAATCCTATGATGGAAGAGAGAGGGGAGATCGTAAATCAGTCATGATCCAACGTCCTGGATACTTAGAGGAACAAGGTCCGAGAATTCATGGAAAAGATTCAACTAGCAAATCAACCCGTCGTGATGCTGATCCGTATCCTAAATTACTACTACTACCACCACTACTACTCCTACTGCTGCAACTATAACTACTATCACTACTCAGTTTACTAAATTATGAACATAATCCTTATAATATTACATACCTCGATTCAATGCATAGCATAGTTGGTTCCTTGACCAATTCTCTTTATTATAATAGACTATATGATAGAGAGTGGGATGATGATAAAAGACAAAGAGGGGCTGAGCCAAAAAGGCGCCACCGCAAGTAATGGAGTTGTGTCTGCTCTTAGTAAAGAAGGTTTGCTCTTGATTTTTTTGCATGCTTTTGCTCTTTACCTGGACAACCAAAGTATATTTTTTTTACCCATGTACTCCTTCTGTCTCTAAATAAAAGCCAGCTTGGACCAAAGTCACCAAACACATAAACCAAATGAAAACTCTGATTAAGATTTATGTAGAGGATAGAGAAACGATATGAATCAAATAATGCTTTCTGTAAGAGGCAATGAGAGGTAATCTTGGGAAGGAATTAAAGGAAAGTATGACGATTAGTAGGGATATAGAGTATCAAATTCCATATTACTCCATTCCAATTTGTTGTGCATGCTTTTCTTTTTGGTCTTCCCAATTTATTGAAGTGTTGTTACGTCGTGGAGTAGTCATCTACTATGCATTGTGTCGCAGGGAAGGGGCAATTGGCGTTTGGGGGGGGGGGGAATCTGTTGCCTGCGAAATGTAGTTTCTTTTTGTTTTTGTTTTTATTAATGGAAATAAGGTCCGTTTGCAGAGGTGATTTGTTTTATTTTTTTAATTAATATAATAAATAATCTTTCTTCTCTTACTTTTTCACCTTCCGTTTAGGACAATCTCTACATAATGTTTCCATTTACTTCTAGTTTTTTTATTTGATTTGATTATATCTGTCAACAAACTGTGTTCTTAACCCCCATTAGATATTTTAATTTGATTCTCCTCTGCTGACACTTTCTCTCTCCTCTGCTCTGCCCTGCTCTCTCCCGTGTAACGGCTCTTCCTCTTCCTCGGAGTATCCGCCGGCGCGTCGACACTCAGCGTCTGTCCTCCCTGCCGGCGGTTTAGAAGGTCGTCGGACGGCGGTGGGCGGCGGCGGACGACGACTAGGAGCACAGGTAAGTACACACCCACCCCCCCACCCCTTCTCCATACCTAACACCCCCCACCCCTTCTCTGACCCAGATCCGATCGCCAACCCTTTCGCCGGTCGCCGCCGACCTGTCCCCCTACCCCTTCGCCGTCAACCTGTCCCCCGACCCCCCGTCACGGGTTCCTCCTTCCCCCTCAACCAGAACCGGAA